AAAAGTGGGCAATCGCTGGGTGTCCCCGGAACCACGTCTGAGAAACACGCCAAGGCCTGGTTTGCTCTCTGTGACTATTCAGTGATCTGGTGTTGCAGTTTCCCTTTGGAATCTGCTGGGGAGCAAGACTGCTGTGAAACTCCCATCTTATTGAACTCGGCCTGCGTATGTGTGGGAAGGAAGCTTCATGCTGGGGAAACGCAAGTCTTCAGGGGAGGCCCTTCTCTTGGTCCCACCACCTTCCCAGGCCTGCTTATGTTCTTCAGCGATTGGTCTGCCTCGCTCAGTATTGTCCTCACGGACTGGCAGCAGCTCTCCAGCAAATGCTCTGCTAACTGAGCGATGGCAGTTTCCGAAAGAGCAGTTAAGATTGAATGCAGGTTTCAGGTTGCATCTAAGGCTCCTTTTGTTGTTTAGTCGTGTCCGCCTCTTTGTGACCCCCTGGACCAGAGCACACCAGGCACTCCTGTCTTCCACTGCCTCCTGCAGTTTGGTCAAACTCATGCTGGTAGCTTCTAGAACACTGTCCCACCATCTCGTCCTCTGCCATCCCCTTCTCCTTGTGCCCTCCATCTTTCCCAACATCAGGGTCTTTTCCAGGGAGTCTTCTCTTCTCATGAGGTGGCCAAAGTCTTGGAGCCTCAGCTTCAGGATCTGTCCTTCCAGTGAGCACTCAGGGCTGATTTCCTTCAGAATGGAGAGGTTTGATCTTCTTGCAGTCCATGGGACTCTCAAGAGTCTCCTCCAGCACCAGAATTCAAAAGCATCCATTCTTCAGCGATCAGCCTTCTTTATGGTCCAGCTCTCACTTCCATACATCACTACTGGGAAAACCAGAGCTTTTACTATATGGACCTTTGTTGGCAAGGTGATGTCTCTGCTAGAAAGAAGATATAAACAAACTGCTCAACTCCCCCCCTCTTGAGCTACACAAACACACACACACACACACACACACACACACACCAATGGCTCATAAGGACTCTTCTCTGCTTTGGTCTATGAGTAATGCAGACTGCCAGAAGTTCAGCGAGGAAACTGACTCACTTTTACTGACTACCGGTAATCAGCAGATCCCAGATGACCAATCTGAGCCCTGTTTTCACTTGCCTGCTTTCTTGCTGACTTTGTGTCGTGATTTGTTTAAACACAGCCCTGAGCTCAAAGTTTTGCACTTTGCTTTGCAGCACATGCACAGCCATGGCTGTGAAATGTGCCGGCAAAATCTCCATGGCCTGTGTTCTCTTGGGCACTTTCATCTGCTCCTTCCTTGGTAAGTTCTGCAAATCTTGCTTGCTTGTTGGAGGGGGGCGAGGTTGTTGAAGAGAGTCAGGGAGTGAGGTTTGTCATGAAAGAGGAAACGGGGATGGCTAAATTACAGCTGAATGAGGCGGCTCAGAGAAAGGGCTCGCTCAGTTAACAGGAAGGAGCTTCGGCCCATAAATTTTAACCATGTGCAAACAAATCAGAAAGAACTTTGCACAGATTTCTGCCTTGCACTTCCAGTGCTTTGATGTAACTCAGCGCAGCTCCAGAGTAATTAAACCATTAGCATTCCACAAAAGGGAACAACATGGAAAGTGGAGAAAGCTTTTCTTCCACTGCTCTGGAGGGTAGATTCTTTTAGGATATTTCCGTTCCACCTTAAAAGGGAGCAGGCTTTGTGAGTCACAGAGTCTGCGTATTTTCTGCTCACAGGAAGTTTCTGTTTGTCTATTGCTTTTGTTTTCTCTCTGTGCCTGAGACATCGAAGCAGGCAGTCATGTTTTTTTTGTTCTGACCAACGCTGAATAAAGTAATAAATAATGCTCTCCTGAGTGCATCTTTCGCTGTGCGAACTCTGCTGATAGAGCGTGCACCAGCTCTGGAATGTGGCAAGCTATTTCTGAAGCTCGTGTCGCTAATTGACTGATACTGTATCTACGGGAGATCAATGGATCGTCCGGAATCGACGTGGGATCATGAAGGCCTTTGTCTCCCTGGCAGTATCCCAACAGATTCAACCAACAGATTCAAGAAAGGAGATTTGAATTAAACATTAGGGAGAACTTTCTGATGGTAAGAGCCTCAGAAGGTGGTGGACCTTGAAGGTTTTGAAACAGAGGTTTGATGGCTGTCCATTAGCCTGGAGGTCCCCATCACTTAGTTGTGGCTCTTGCAACCTGGCCCGCTCTTTGGCAATGCTGATGGGGACACTTAAGGGGCCAGCTTAGGTCATTCTCTTACAAAGAAACTTGTCCAACTAATTTAGCAAGTGAAACCTCTATTGCATTCTTTGTTTTTGTTTTTTTTGGAAATAATTTTTATTTGATTTTAAAAAACAAACAGCATGTAACAAAATCATTTCTAAATCCATATACAGTGGTACCTCTGGTTGCGAACGGGATCCGTTGCGGAGGCCCATTCGCAACATGAAAAGAACGCAACCTGCAGTGGTGCGTCTGCGCACACGCGGGTTGCGATTCGTCACTTCTGCGCATGTGCATGACATCATTTTGTGCTTCTGCGCATGCGTGAGCGGTGAAACCCAGAAGTAACCCTTTCCAGTACTTCCGGGTCGCCTTGGGACGTAACCTGAAAGAAGGTAACATGAAGTGGATGTAACATGAGGTATGACTGTACAGTGGTACCTCAGTTTAAGAACAGTCCAGTCTAAGAATGATTTGGTTTAAGAACTCTGCAAAACCGGAAGTAGTGTCCCGGTTTGAGAACTTTACCTCGGTCCAAGAACGGAATCTGAACAGTGGAAGGGCACCGGCAGCAGGAGGCCTCATTAGGGAAAGTGCGTTTGTAAATTACAAATTACGTTTGTAAACCGAGATAGCACTGTACAAAGATTACTCTGAATCTCGCAACTTCCCCCCACCCCCCTTCATGGGCCCTAATGCTAATATTTATATCTGCATATCAATTCATTATCCAAATATTTTGTCCCTCTAAATTATCCATAATTTTTGTTACTTTACAAACGTGGTTAAAATTCTGCTAATGTTTTCGTCTGTTTACAATGGTCTCGTAGATATATTATAATTTCCCCCCATTCTTTTTTTAAAGTTCTTGTTCTTTTGGTTTCTGAGCTTCCCAGTTAATTTTGCCATTTCAGAATAGTCCATCAACTTGTTTTGCCATTCTTCCCTGTCAACATTGTTTCTTCCCTCCATCTCTGGACTAGTAAAGTCCGTGCGGCTGTTGTCGCATACATAAAAAGCCTTTTCTGGTCCTTTGGGATCTCAGTACATGTAATTCCTAGAAAAGCTTCTGCGTTTTTATTTTAAGCAAAAGTTACTTTAAACATTTTTTTCATTTCATTATATATCATCTCCCAGAAAGTTTCTGTTATCTTGCGCTTCCACCACATATGATAAAATGTACCTTCCTTTTCTTTACACTTCCAGCAGATATTGGTTCTTGTTCTATACATTTTTGCTAACGTAGTAGGAGTCAAATACCACCAATACATCATTTTCATATCATTTTCTTTCAGCGTACAAAATGCCTTAAATTTCAAATCTATTTTCCATAGCCTCTCCCAATCTGCCAACTGTATATTGTGTCCCAATGTCTATTGCATTCTAACCCTCACTGTGTACAGGACCCGAGAACTGGAAAGGACTCAAGGAGTCATTCACACCATCTGGCAAACACGCAACAATATTATGGTATCCTGCTCTACCTGATATAAAAGAAGCATCAATATTTGGCACTCCCCCCCTTCACTTTCTCCCTTTTTCCTCTTACTTATTTTTCCCTCCCCAAAAACACTTAGGCCTTGAAAGCAGTCAGGTACCAAAGACTCCTATGATTCAGCTGAACGGGATCCTGGGAGAATCCGCCTTGCTTTCTGTACATATAACCTCGGCCAATACCGTGTCCATCGTTAAATGGATATTCCACCCTCGAAAAGGCGAGGCAAATGACCTTGGGCGATTCAGCGATGGGAAATGGGTGCGGTGGAATATGAGCGACAGTTTTGGGCAGCGTCTGGAAATGGTTGATGGCCCCACGCTGAAAATAAGCAAATTGGTGGTGAAGGACAGTGGAGTCTACAAGGCTCATGTGACGTTTTCCACAGGAGTGACAGAATCACACACATTCAGCCTCACTGTCTATGGTATGTACTTGTTTCACCATCGCACACTGTAAGGATGTGGGAGAAATTCAGTCCTGTTCACTTTCACCTGCCTAGGGGAAAGACCACCTCCTTCCTTACAGACTCTTCCAGGTGTTGAGATCGGCAGTCGGGACCCTCTTGGTAGTCCTGCCATCCTCAAAAGTTTGGGGAGGGTGGCCTAGGGAGGGGGATGGAGAGAGGGACTTCTTGGTGGTGGCCCCTAGGCTGCAGAATGCGTCGCTGTACATGCATAAGAACATAGGAAGGATCTGCTGGACCAGGCCAAAGGGGACCTCTATAGTCCAGCCTCCGGTCTTTGCTGTGGCCGACCAGATGCCCATCATGGGAAGCCCACAAGCAGAACCCGGGAACAACTCTTCCTTCCTGTGGTTTCCAGCAACTGACACTCTTCTTTCATCAAGCCCATCTGATGGATGTGGAAATGGTGATGAGGAAGCAGCCAGCACCCCCCCCAAAACCCCCCCCCCAGTCAGTGAAACCCCAGAGGCATCAAAGTAAAACACAATTCCAAATGTTGCTGCTGACCTTTAAATCCCTAAACGGCCATGACCCAGTATACCTGAAGGGGCGTCTCCATCCCCATTGTTCTGCCCGGACACTGAGGTCCAGCTCCGAGGGTCTTCTGGCGGTTCCCTCCCTGCGAGAAATGAGGTTACAGGGAACCAGGCAGAGGGCCTTCTCAGTGGTGGCGCTTGCTCTGTGGAACGCCCTCCCTTCAGATGTCAAGGGGATAAAGAACTACACAACTTTTAGAAGACATCTGAAGGCTGCCTTGTATTGGGAAGATTTTAATGTTTGGTGTTTTACTGTGTTTTTATATTCTGTTGGAAGCCTCCCAGAGTGGCTGGGGTAACACAGTCAGGCATACAAACAATAAAATATTTTTAAAAATTCATTTCTAACAGAGCCAGTGCGGGAGCCGCAGGTCACCCATAAACTGATCTCCAACACACCTGAGGGCTGCAATGTAACCCTGCGGTGCCAGGCATCAGGAAAGGGAGACTTCCGTGTCTCCTGGAAAAGAGGGAATCCCCTCAGAGCCCTAGGCGAGAGCCCGGACTGGCACCAACTCTCTGACAACGGGGAAGATCTCCATCTGTTCTGGCATCGCAACGCCTCAGATGCCAACATCACCTGCCTGGTGAGCAATCCGGTGGATCAGAAGAACATTTCCATCAACCTCCTCAGCCTCTGCCCAGCTGAAGGTAAGGAACCCCTGGCCCATTTCCCCATTTCCTCCATTAGCCTGTCTTTATTTAATGTGTTTGTATCCTGCCTTTCTCCAAGTTTATTTTATTTGTCAGAATATTTGTATACTGCTGGGCCACAAAAAGCATATCAAAGAGGTTTACAGCAACAAAACCATAAAACCGTATAAGAAAAGTTTAAAAGAGACATCAGTTAACTGTCTGGATTAATTAATTAGCTCTGTATTTTTATTAATTTTCCATCAAAAAACAAGGAAAAAAATGCATATAACACCACATTGAAACTTTCACAGATTTTCCCTGGACTTAGAATCATAGAATCATAGAATCCTAGAGTTGGAAGAGACCACAAGGGCCATCGAGTCCAACCCCCTGCCAAGCAGAAAACACCATCAGAGCACTCCTGACATATGGTTGTCAAGCCTCTGCTTAAAGACCTCCAAAGAAGGAGACTCCACCACACTCCTTGGCAGCAAATTCCACTGTCAAACAGCTCTTACTGTCAGGAAGTTCTTCCTAATGTTGAGGTGGAATCTTCTTTCTTGTAGTTTGGATCCATTGCTCCGTGTCCGCTTCTCTGGAGCAGCAGAAAACAACCTTTCTCCCTCCTCTATGTGACATCCTTTTATATATTTGAACATGGCTATCATATCACCCCTTAACCTCCTCTTCTCCAGGCTAAACATGCCCAGCTCCCTTAGCCGTTCCTCATAAGGCATCGTTTCCAGGCCTTTGACCATTTTGGTTGCCCTCCTCTGGACACGTTCCAGTTTGTCAGTGTCCTTCTTGAACTGTGGTGCCCAGAACTGGACACAGTACTCCAGGTGAGGTCTGACCAGAGCAGAATACAGTGGCACTATTACTTCCCTTGATCTAGATGCTATACTCCTATTGATGCAGCCCAGAATTGCATTGGCTTTTTAGCTGCCGCGTCACTCTTGGCTCATGTCCTGTTTGTGGACAACCACGCCTCCTCGATCCTTTCCCCATGTACGGATCTCAAGCCAGGTGTCCCCATCTTGTATTTGTGCTCTCTCATTTTTTTGCCCAAGTGCAATACTTTACATTTCTCCCTGTTAAAGTTCAGCTTGTTTGTTTTGGCCCAGTTCTCTAATCTGTCAAGGTCGTTTTGAAGTGTGATCCTGTCCTCTGGGGTGTTAGCCACCCTCCCAGTTTGGTGTCATCTGCAAATTTGATCAGGATGCCCTTGAGTCCATCATCCAAGTCGTTGATAAAGATGTTCAATAAGACCGGGCCCAAGACAGAACCCTGTGGCACCCCACTAGTCACTCTTCTCCAGGATGAAGAGGAACCATTGATGAGCACCCTTTGGGTGCGGTCAGTCAGCCAGTTACAAATCCACTGAGTGGTAGCATAGTCAAGACCGCATTTTACCAGCTTCTTTACAAGAATATCATGGGGCACCTTGTCAAATGCCTTGCTGAAATCAAGGTAGGCTACATCCACTGCGTTCCCTTCATCTACCAGGCTTGTAATTCTGTCAAAAACGAGATCAGGTTAGTCTGACATGACTTATTTTTCAGAAATCCATGCTGACTATTGGTGATCACAGCATTCCTTTCTAGGTGCTCACAGACTGTTTGCTTAATGATCTGCTCCAGAATCTTCCCGGTATTGATGTCAGACTGACTGGGCGGTAATTATTTGGGTCCTCTCTTTTCCCTTTTTGAAAATAGGGACAACATTTGCCCTCCTCCAGTCTGCCGGGACTTCGCCTGTTCTCCAGGAATTCTCAGAGATGACTGCCAGTGGTTCTGAGATCACATCTGCCAGTTCTTTTAATACTCTTGGATGCAGTTCATCTGGCCCTGGAGACTTGAATACATCTAAACTAGCCAAGTATTCTTGTACTATCTCCTTAGTTATTCTGGGCTGTGTTTCCTTTGCTGAATCATTTGCTCCAAATTCTTCAGGTCGGGCATTGTTTTCTTTATCGGAGAAGACTGAGGCAAGGAAGGCATTGAGGAGTTCAGCCCTTTCTGTGTCCCCTGTTTGCATTTCACCATCTTCTCCTCTGAGTGACCCCACTGTTTCTTTGTTTCTTTGTTCTTCCTTCAGCCTCTCTGACAATCATCCAAATTTAACTTTTTTAATTACACATTTCCTAAATTTGCTATTGCCTTTTAGCATATCCTTCCAAATTTGCTTTTCTTTTTTACAATACTTCTCAAACTTTTACAAAGCGTCTTGAAATGCCACTAGCATGAATTAATTAATTTTATAATGAATGATTTTAGAGTGTTGTTTGTGCTGTACTTTTGTACTGTTTTATTGTTGTTAGCCGCCCTGAGCCCGGATTCGGCTGGAGAGGGCGGGATATAAATAAAATTTATTATTATTATTATTATTATTATTATTATTATTATTATTATTAGCGTTATTCTCTCCTCACTTATACATTCCAAATAATCTACAAACTTTCCCCAGTCCTCGATGAACTTTTGATCTCGTAGATATCTGATCTTCCCAGTTAATTTATCAAGGTCTGCATAGTCCATCAGCTTCATTCTCCACTCCTCCAATGTTGGTACTTGTTCCTGTTTCCATTTCTGGGCCAGTAATATTCTTGCCGCTGTTACTGCATATTGGAAAAGTTTACAATCCTTTCTATTTATTTCATTTCCTATAATTCCTAAGAGAAAGGCCTCTGGTTTCTTAACAAATGTATATTTCAACATTTTTTTCAATTCATTATATATCAATTCCCAGAAGCTCTTCACTTTCTTACATTCCCACAACATATGATAAAATGTACCATCCTTTTCTTTACATTTCCAACACTTCTTACATGTTTTATACATTTTTGCAAGTTTTACAGGTGTAATATACCATCTATAAACCATTTTCATGACATTTTCCTTTAACGTAGTACATGCAGTAAATTTAATATTTTCATTCCAATACAATATTTTGGGTTACCTGGATCTAAGCCACGTAGGTCTTTAGACGTCAAAACCCTGCCCTGCACCCGGCTCCAGCTTTTACGGACTGCCTCCATATTGCACCTTCGACCTCGGACTGGACTCGGACCTCGCCTCTTGGTTGCCCCACGGGACCAGCACACTGATGGTGTTGGGACCAAGAGGAGGTGCTCATCTGAGGGCCTTGGCACCCGGCCAGCTCCGTAAAGGGAGATACAATATTTGGGTAACCGGGATCTAACCACGTAGGTCTTTAGAAGTCAAAACCAGCCTTCCTCTTCTCTTTCTCACAGGGAGGGATGAAGCAAGCACCCATGGGGTCATGTATTGGTGGGTGTCTTGTTACAATCACCCTGAAAAGACAATAATTGCTTTTTTCAGGCAACCGGGCATTCTGGTTGATTCTCTGGCTTTTTCAGAATCCCTCATCTCAGTTCCAGTCATATCAATCATCTTGTTTGTGTTCTTGGGGGTCTTCCTGTGTAGGAAAAGCAACAAATGTCAGACCGCAAAGGTAGGAAGCATCTTTTGTTACTCTCTAGTACATGTCAACTGGAGTTGGGTTGGCAAATTATGCATTCTTCTTTCCTTGTTAATCTTTTTAATCTTATGGAATAACACATTTCTGCTGTTGGGGCCAGCGATGCTTCTGAATGTTGTGGGAATGTTCAGGGAATGTTCAGGGATGCAGGAGAGGATATATTGTCTGATAATAGCCTTTCCAACTTGTGTTAACAAGTTCACAATTTAGCAGAGTAACATTCCCCTTTTTAAACTTGCAGCGGATGCGTTTGCTCAGGCTCGCTAAAGCCTCTAGAATAACTGTTGTGGTATTTTCCCCTTATTCCCTCATAAAAGATAAGACACGACACAATCTTCTATAAAAGTATAAAAAGGTTTACTCACACATCATTCTGTTCACAATAGGATCCCAGAAGGCAGACTTAGCTTAGAAAAGTTATATACACCTGGAAACTATCTCATAAGGAGACAGTCCCTTTGTCCTCTCTTGGCTAAAAGCCAAGAGGGCATCTTTGGCTAAGCAGATGTTGCTTCTTTGACGCATGTAGTCAAAGAGAGAGAGATGGCTGCCCTGCCCTGTGCTTTTGTTGTTACCTGCACAGGTGAGGCCACACCCACCTCTAGTCACATGCAGAGGAAGTCTGTTCCAGCCCAGAAGGAAACAGGAAGTTTACCTGCTGGCTGGACAAACATTCTTCCCAATGTGTAAACATGTTCACTCTAGGAAGGTTGTACTTGACTGCTCTTGTGTTTCACATCCCACAAATGTCAGCTGCAGGAAACCGCAGGAGGAGAGAGCTGCTCTTGTGCTCAGTTCCTGCTTGCTGGTTTCCCACAAGCATCTCATGGGCCCCTGTAAGAACGAGATGCTGGACTAGGTGGGCCCCCTTTGGCCTGATCCAGCAGCCAGGCTCTTCTTACATTACAGTGGTACCTTGCTTCCTGGACGGCTTGGCTCCCAAACAAATTGGCTCCCGAATGCCGCAAACCCGGAAGTAAGCGTTCCGGTTTGCAGACGTTCTTTGGAAGCCAAACTTCCATTTCGGGTGTCGGCACTGTTTCTGGGGCCAATCAGCCAATCAGAAGCTGCCTCTTGGTTTGCGAATGTTTTGGAAGTCGAACAGATTTCCAGAATGGATTGAGTTCAAGAACTAAGGTACCACTGTATTATGTTCTTAATGCACAAGCAGAAGTGTGGATGAGCCCAAAGTGGAAGTAGGATGTGTGTCAATCCAGTAGTGTACAGGATTTGATTTATTCCTGTTTTGCTCCAGCAGCCTCAAATCTTCAGGATCTGTTTCCTTAGTGTGTGGTTGGCCCTGCATTATGAAGCCTCTTACATTTCTCTTTCTGCCTCTCTCTGCAGATTGACTAGAACACAGAACACCTCTCTCTCTCTGACAATGACTGAGCTGTATCAACCCCCAGTTCCCCCCCCAAAGAGGAGACGGAAAGCCCTCGAGTGAGTTTGGATCTCCCTGACGCTGTCTCTGAGAGCAACTCTAGTTGCATTTCTTAAGATGAAAAATTGGAAATAAGAATTATTGCACATGCTTTGAGTGAAGAAAAGGGTATGTTAGCTGCTAATTAAGCCTGCCACTAAGAAGTTAAGAGTGATGGACTGGACTGGACAGAAGATAACATTAAAGAATAACATCTATCCCGGTATGTTGAAACGGAACGGAAAGGAGGGGGGGAACTTTTCCTTTTTTTTAACTACGATATTATCATACAACTTATAGCAAGTGAGATTGGAAAATAAACTGCGTGGAAATAAAAATATCAACTAAAGCCTTTGTTTTGTGAAAGATTTGGAAAGAAAATAAAAGGCTCTCTTGTGACGCAATTTTTAATCGGGATCCACCATTACGAGGCAGACTAAGTTCGATGGCAAATCTTCTCTGGAAAGACTGATTTATGGTGCAACTTGTCTGGGAAAATTAATGAGCAGATGCTTAGATTTTATTTCATCGGAACTGAGAAAGATGGTGTCTGCCGCCCGAGCAGGACTTCTGGATCAGCGTGTGAAGATTTATTGCAAACAAAAGACTTACCAGCTTTAAAAAAGGGAGAGTCTTCCAAAGTTCACACAGAAGCATAATAATGTTTACTTTAATTCGCCTGTGGAAACACTCAGAGGCTATTAAGAAGAAAAAGGATATCAACAAGAAGATTGAAAGATGGGACTGGTGAACACTAAAAGCAGCAGAAATATGAGATGACTGGACCCTTACTGAACTTGAAGCATGGGAACCCCCAACAAAAATTTGTAATTTGGCAAAATATTTGGACTTTATTATATGTATTGGTATAATTTGGAATAATTAATGTGGTATGATTGGATTGTTAAATGGAAAACTTAATAATTTTTTTTTTTTTTAAAAGAACAAAGGTGTGTCAGCCCTTATATAGACATTTTAAATTGCCCGCCTTGGAGTCCAAAACCACCACCAGAAAAATCATACCTACATCAAGGGGTGTAGCTCAAGACCCCCCCCCCAGATACATCATACCTACATCACAGAAAGGGCAGTCTACAACAGAAATCTGAGTGCGTTGTTTATCTCTTCTGACAGGTTACCTGTTAATGCTTTCTTGATTGGATACCCTGGGGAGCCTGGCCAGTCTTTTGTAATGATAAATACTTAGTTCCTGAGCCAGGTCACAGGCTCACACCCTATTCATATCTTAAATGTGTCCTTAAGACAGGATTTGTGAGGAAAGAGACAATGGGGAGGTTTCCCGCTTTGACCTTGCAGAGAAAACATTTGGTCAGTTTGGGAATCAAAAATAGTTTCAGGTCGGTCTTCCTGTGCTGATCTATGTACGTGCTTGGTTGGTACATTTATGAACATTTATTATATATCTAAGACTTTAAAAGGGACGCGGGTGGTGCTGTGGGTTAAACCACAGAGCCTAGGGCTTGCCGATCAGAAGGTTGGCGGTTCGAATCCCCACGATGGGGTGAGCTCCCATTGCTCGGTCCCTGCTCCTGCCAACCTAGCAGTTCGAAAGCACATCAAAGTGCAAGTAGATAAAGAGGTACTGCTCCAACAGGAAGGTAAACGGCGTTTCCGTGTGCTGCTCTGGTTCGCCAGAAGCGGCTTAGTCATTCTGGCCACATGACCCAGATTTATGCCATTCCAACATTGTTCTACTCAGAAGGAAAATGGCTAGCAGGCGTTATGTACTAAGCTTGGATCCTAGTACAATAGGCAAGTAGGATCCTAGAATGCAACAACTGATTGGCCTGCAGGAAAAGACCAATCAGCTCTAGGAGGGAAGCAGAATCAGCCAATCAGACGGGACTCATTGTGTAAATAATGTATATAAAAGCCTGAGGTTTGGGGGAAAATTCAATCACTGTTTTACAAGCTGCAATAAAGAGTATGAAATCACTACAGGACTCTGAGTATATTTCACAGGGGAGGAGCTTGGGACATGGGTAGGGGCAGCCATAATCGGCTCCACTGCCTGGGTGATAATCGCTGGCATCCTGGCACCTGAGTGCCAGACAGGTAGGTCCTTCCAAGAACAATCCCAAACCCAACCTTAGTGGGACTGGGATCTCAGTCAAGACAAAAGGGTGTGCTTAACTTGGCTGGGAAAACAGGAAAATGTAAATGCTTACCTTTGTTTCACCTAAAGATTGGAAGGGGGAGGTCAGGTTTCTGCCAGAAGACCCCTCCCAATTTATGACATAGTTAGGACAGATGTATGATCCTTTAGTAAGGGTGTTATGGGTAATTTGGGAAACTTATAAAAAGGGGAGCCATCCTTTGTTCAGGGCTTCTTTTTACTTCTTCCATGTTGTAGTTCGAAGTCTTGTTGCAATGATAAAGATCAGGCCTATTGGCTGCTGTTTTGCTTCTATAATCTTGGCTGGAGTCTTTGTTTGATAATCCAAGTGAGCTGGGGAATTTTTCCTGTAACATCCAACAAGACACTTCCTGTCTTATACTGATGAATGACTTGTGTCAACAAGAGAGCCTCCACATGGGGGCTCTCTTCACAAAACAACCATGCAGAACATTATCCCAATCATAGCTGTCAACCGTCCCTTATTTGCCTGGAAAACTCCCTTATCCCAGCGCTGTGTCTCGCTGCTGTCCCTTATTGATGATGTCCCTTAAATTTCCCAGGTTTCAAAGGAAGCAGCTCCTCTCCCTCCCTCCCTGCCGGCCAGGGAGGAGGGAGGGTCCAACTGTGTTGCTTGGCTGCCCTGCCCACCCCCCTCCGGCCTCCTCTCACCAGCCTCGGCCCCCGGGAGCCCCTCCCCGCTAGGACTGCTGGGAGCCTCAGGTCCTTCTGCCGCCATCCTCCTTGCGCCCGCCGAACTGAACGTCTCTGCCTGGAGCCTCCCCTCTGCCTGCTGCTGCCGCTGCCACTAGGCTGTACTGCGGCTGCACTGCCGAAGGACCCGAATGAGATGGGCAGCCTGGCGCGGCCTATGAATTGCTGAGGAGCCTTGAGAGGAGAGTGAGGGCAACCATAGAGAAAGCAGTTCAGAGAGAGGAGGAGGAGGCGGAGGCGCGGGCAGGTGTTCCAAGGGCTAACCATATTGGGGGAAAGCGGAGAAAGGACCGCAAGCGCTTCTCCCATAGATTTGTAGTGGTAGACTAGCATAGATGGTCTGATCTGCAGGTTTACTTTGGGTGCTATTCACCCCCCCCTTCCTCCCGCCCCATCTGATGGAACTGAGAGCTGCAGATGGAGCACGAGAGAAAAGATACAGAACTGCAGCAGCATCTTCGTAGCTTGGACTTTGTTTTGCGCGAAAAGTGGTTGCTGCTTGTAGTTATTCAATTGCAGTGTTTCATCAGCTGGTGTCTTGAGCAGCAACCTCTGGAAACGAAGGGCTAAAAACTGAAACCAAAATTATCTGGTCCCTTTTAACTTTGCATTTCAGCTGGTTGACTAAAATCCCTTATATTGGCTGCTGATCCCTTATTTTCGAGGCTGCTGGTCCCTTATTTTCAAATCTGTAAGTTGACAGCTATGATCCCAATGGGTGAGAGGGAAGACCAGCATGATTAAATGGGCAGTGCAGTTATGGTGAGAATGTAACAGCTTCTCTGAAGACAATTCCATCAAGTCATGATGGCTACATAATGGCTCCAGTTTCAGAGGCACCATGCCGCGGAACAGTAACGCTGACTGATGGGGAGCAGAAATGGGGAGAGTTATCAGGCCCCCTTTGGCCTGATCCACTTGTAGGGCTCTTTACATGCTCTTAATACAAGCAAGCAATGCAAGAGCGGAAGTCAGTCGATCAGAAGCCAACCTAACAGTCAATAAGGGAGATCTCAGAACTGTATAGGAATTTGTTACAAGGTGTACATATGCTTGAACCTACATGGGTGTCCGGCATGTATACGAACTCATCATAACATGTCAGAGAGGAATGGAACCTTTTGTGTGGAGTCAGGGTGTGTGTTCATTTAAAATGTGTGCGTGCTATTAATCCATACACCCAATAAAGAGCTTTTCTACAAAAAGAGTTGTTTACTACACGGAAATGAAAGAGGTGGAGTGTACGAGTGCTGCTTCAGACAGCGAGGTAGCAGGCATTATCATTAACATCCACACAGCTTAATTCCAAAGTTTGTTGTTGTTTAGTCGTTTAGTCGTGTCCGCCTCTTCTTGACCCCCTGGACCAGAGCACGCCAGGCACTCCTGTCTTCCACTGTCTCCCACGGCTTGGTCAAACTCATGTTCGTAGCTTTGAGAACACTGTCCCACCATCTCGTCCTCTGTCGTTCTCTTCTCCTTGTGCCCTCCATCTTTCCCAACATCAGGGTCTTTTCCAGGGAGTCTTGTCTTCTCCTGAGGTGGCCAGAGTCTTGGAGCCTCAGCTTCACGATCTGTCCTTCCAGTGAGCACTCAGGGCTGATTTCCTTCAGAATGGAGAGGTTTGATCCTCTTGCAGTCCATGGGACTCTCAAGAGTCTCCTCCAGCACCAGAATTCAAAAGCATCAATTCTTCGGCAATCAGCCTTCTTTATGGTCCAGCTCTCACTTCCATACATCACTACTGGGAAAACCATAGCTTGAACTAGACGGACCTTTGTTGGCAAGGTGATGTCTCTGCTTTTTAAGATGCTGTCTAGGGTTGTCATTACTTTTCTCCCAAGAAGCAGGCGTCTTTTAATTTCATGACTGCTGTCACCATCTGCAGTGATCATGAAGCCCAAGATAGTAAAATCTCTCACTGCCTCCATTTCTTCCCCTTCTATTTGCCAGGAGGTGATGGGCCCAGTGGCCATGATCTTCGTTTTTTTGATGTTGAGCTTCAGACCATATTTTGTGCTCTCCTCTTTCACCCTCATTAAAAGGTTCTTTAATTCCTCCTCACTGTCTGCCATCAAGGTTGTGTCATCTGCATATCTGAGGTTGTTGATATTTCTTCTGGAAATCTTAATTCCGGTTTGGGATTCATCCAACCCAGCCTTTCGCATGATGAATTCTGCATATAAGTTAAATAAGCAGGGAGACAATATACAGCCTTGTCGTACTCCTTTCCCAATTCTGAACCAATCAGTTGTTCCATATGCAGTTCTAACAGTAGCTTCTTGTCCCCCATAGAGATTTCTCAGGAGACAGATGAGGTGATCAGGCACTCCCATTTCTTTAAGAACTTGCCATAGGTTGCTGTGGTTGACACAGTCAAAGGCTTTTGCATAGTCAATGAAGCAAAAGTAGATGTCTTTCTGGAACTCTCTAGCTTTCTCCATAATACAGCGCATGTTTGCAATTTGGTCTCTGGTTCCTCTGCCTCTTCTAAATCCAGCTTGCACTTCTGGGAGTTCTTGGTCCACATACTGCTTGAGCCTTCCTTGTAGAATTTTACGCATAACCTTGCTAGTGTATGAAATGAGTGCAATTGTGAGGTAGTTGGAGCATTATTTGGCACTGACAAACAGTTAAGGATCCCTAAGTACCTAGAAGTCTTAGAGAAAGTGATTGCAGCAATGTGCCATAGTAACCACTAGGGAAGGGAAGGGATATACCCAGTCTTAGGGCAAGAGGAGCACAAAGTCAGGGCGTTAAGATCTGTGCCTTCTGAGAGTGAAGCTTCCTACTTCAGATTCCTGTGCCAGCGAGGTAACAGTCTCTCACCCATTCCTTGGTTCAGCAAAGGGTTGGGTTGGTCCATGAGATGCTTGAGGAGCAAAGAGGGGGTCCCATTGCAGCTGTGAGCTAACTAACCATTGAAAATCTGAGGTTTAAGAATACTTAAACATATACCCATAGAAAGCCAGTGTGGTGTAGCGGTTAGAGTGTTGGACTAGGACATGGGAGATAGGGCTGGGTGATATCAGGTTTTCAACATCGTGCTGTATCACCAGTGAAATATCACAATATAGTGATGCATCACGATGTCTGAAAGGAGGAAGGAGGAAATAGGATGGGAAGAAGCAGCCAAGATACATCACCCAGCCCTAGTATTGGCCCCACACCCGGGGAGCACAGAAGGAGAGGAGATTGCGAAGTCGGAGAGGCATGGTACTCTTCACACAAATGAGGAGTCCTGGTCCACATTGAAAACCGCAAGGCACTGGGTTGAACCCACCACTGCTCCTGCCACCGCTACTGCCTGGCATGTGGAGGGAAAAGGATGGAGCACTGGCCCCACCACTGCGAGGCACCGTGGTGAAGCTGCTGCTGCTCCCGCCGTTGCCAGCGCAAGGAATAAGGCAGCCCACCTGCTCAGCCAGAGAAGGCGGTCAAGGTGCGGGCCGGCCAGCTAGTAAGCCCCACCTGCAGTATACTGCCTTGGTCAAAAATCAGGTAATCGTCATTACACTCTGGCTCTCAAACTTGTTCTGGACAATGTATCAATACATCTTCCAGACCTACTGGGAGGTTCAAATCCCCACTCAGTCCTGAAACTTACTGGGTGACCTTGGGCCACCTCACAGGGTTGTGAAGATAAAATGGAGGGCAGACCCTCATACACCACCTTGGGCTCCTTGAAGGAAAATGTGAGATACAAGTGCAACAAACAAACAAACCTTTGGTTCTTCTTTTATTTTTTTATTTCCACCCCTGAAAACAATAATTGGGAATACAGTCTTAGAAATGATTTCACAAACTTTCCTACGAATATTCAAAATAGTGCCCAACACAATAATTTAATTACTACAGAAACTGGTTGACAAGAATTACCACCCCACTGTATCCTCTAATTGCCTGTGGCCTCTTTGAGATAAAGAGCTTTTATGGGATATGAGAAAATCTCAAGTTGTCCTATGCTAAGAGTACAGTATTCCTGGGACTAACAAGTCATGTTCCTTCCTATTAGTAACACAGCCAATGCAGATCAGCTGTGGGTTGCAAAAAAGGATTTATTCTTAGCACTTGACTCCATGGTTTTTTGTCTATGAGAGCAGCCAAAACCTGAAGCTGTGCTGAAAATCTTTGGTTCTTCTAACTTTATGGAGAGAGGGGGAAAGGGGCTTCCCTAGCAAATGAGCAATGTAACCCCATAGTCCTGAGAACTGTTGTTGGCTCCTTCTGGTGCACTGTTGTTTTGTAAGATGAGTTTGACGTGAAGAGTACCTGGCCTTAATTTTTGGAAGACCATATCCACATCTCTCTAGTTCCTGAATAACAAACTCATCTCAAAAGAGATTTTCATTGCCTTCATCAAGACCTGTTCCTGCAAACAGGAGGAGGGTTATTACATTTTCTGGTAAATACAAGAGACAGATATATATATTTAATTAAAATACATGACTGGCCAGAAAAATACTTCCATGAAAGTATCCCAAACCTTAGAGCAGCAGCAAAAAACATTTCCAATAAAGTGATCAACACACAGGTCCCTTCTGATGGAGCAATCTGCCAGAGTTTTGAGCTCTCTCAGTTGCGTACGGTTCCAATCTTCTGTTTGCTGCCTCACTGCACCTTTCTCTCCAATGAGCTCAAGGTGGTGTACATGGTTCTCTCCAAGCTCCTTTAATCCCTACAACAACCCTGTGAGGTAGGTCAGTGTGCTGGTCCCGGGGGGGTTACCATGAGGCGTGGTCAGAGTCCGGTCCTGGGCCGAGGGCCTGGAGACTGTCCACCAAGGGTGAAGCGAGGTCCAAAGGAAGAAGCCAGGCGTGGTCGGGAACTCCGGAAGAACAGGTCTGGGTGCTGGCAGAAACAGGTTTCCAACGACGTTGCTCCCGCAACCTGGGACTGGGCTGACTGGCCTTTATCTTCTCTGAGGCCAGGGGTAGTCCTGGCCCCCAGGAGACCCGCCTCTCCTGGCCTTAAGGCGAGCACTCCTCCTCAGAGAACTTAGTTCCCTCCACCTCTCTGCCCTGAGCCTCTGCAGCTCAGGAGAGGCTGGAGGATTACTGGACCCCTTTCCCTGACAGGGCTGGGAGAGGCACACCTGCAGGCAATGGGCCCTCAATCACCTCCGGAGCCAGAGTGGATTCATCTGGTGTCTGCTCCTGAGGATCTGGCACAGGTGCAGGCCCTTCAGATTCAAGCCCCAGCCCCGGCTCAGCCGGCCCTGGAGGCGGGGACTCCTGTGGAGGCTGGGATTCCTCAGGTTCAGCTTCTGAATCAGACTCCCAGGCCATCACAGTCAGACTGAGGAGTAGTGACTGGCCCAAGGTCACCCAGTGAGCATCGTGGCCAAGTGGGGATTCAAACCCTGATCTCCCAGGTCCCAGTCCAACACTCTAACCCAGCGGTTCTCAACCTGTGGGTCCCCAGATGTTGTTGGACTACATCTCCCATCATCCCTGAGTTCTGGCCTTGCTACCTAGGGGTGATGGAAGTTGTAGTTCAACATCTGGGGACCCACAGGTTGAGAAAGGCTGCTCTAACCATTACACCACACTGGCTCATTTCAGTGTGCATTTATCTCACAAAAGCTTGGTTCCATTTTGCCCAAGTCCCCCCTTTTTTGCAAGCAAATTTCCCCGAAGAGCATTTGCTTTAGTATATTGATTCCCTGGATATATGCATTTTTCTGCACCCTTTCCCCTAATAAACACACACACACATATTGGCCATGCAGAAATTCTCAGAAGTATGAATTTTGGAGGACAGATGAGTTTCGGTTCACCTGCTGTCATCCCTTCTGCTGGGTCGTGCAGCCAACATGTCAGCTCTTATCTTCTTTGATCTGCCACCAAGAAGCCCAGGGCCAGCACTTCTGAGGGCTGGGGTGAGAGAGCCTCGCTCAACTGCTGCTTCTGCCAGGGAAGTGAGACTTAACGTGTCAAGCATGGGGGCTGAAGAGGAAACTTGTGGTTGGTTGGGAGGCCTGAAGGCAACGCAGGAGGGGCTGAAGACTGGTGCAGAGAGGGAAGACCACACACAAGAACCTGTTTCAGCACCGGGGGAGGAAGGTGGCAGAGAACGGAGGCAAGGATGGAAACCCACAGCACCCAGCTCATGCTTCTACTCGCCATTCTCCAATTCCCAGGTGAGCAGTGGAGAAAAGGGAGACAGGAATCTCATGGCCAGCCTAGCAAGACCTACCTCCCTTGACAGAGGCTGGTTTCTGGATCCCAAGTGAGGAGAGAATCCTGTTTGTTGCACTCAAGTCCTGCTTGCTTGCAGGTTTCCTTTGGGTCATCTGGTTGACTGGGCTAGTTGGACCCCCCTTTGGCCGTATCCAGCTGCTGCTGAAAGACCCGTCTGATGTTCTCAGGACCCCAAACAGTCAAAGGTGCTCCTCATCTCCAGCGCAAGTCCTTAGTGGAGTGACACATCCCAGTGGAAAGAGTCAGGGGTGGTTAGATTGTTGGACTGGAACCTGAGAGAGACCAGGGTTCGGACCCCCACTTGGCCATGAAGCTCCCTGGTTGTGACATTGGGGTCAGTCACCATCCTTCAGCCTAGCCTACCTCAGAAGGTAGTTGTGAAGTTAAAATGGGGAGGAGGGAATCCATGTACACCACTGAGACCAAGGAAATTATGGTAGCTCCGCTTGCCCATCCGGCAGCCATTCTCCTGAAATTCAAGATTCCCCCCACCCCCAAACAGCAGCAGCAGCAGCAGGAACTTTGTGAAATGGGAACCATTCTGTTGTTCCAAGGAAAGCGAACAGCCATAAGTTCCAAGAAGGTTTTGACACCTTCAGATTTTAAGACTTTAAGAGAAGGATTTTCGCTTTCCATTGTAGGGAAGCAAAACTGCAGGGCTTACGCAAATCGAAAGGACACAGATAAGATGGAAAAAGCTAAAGGGATAGAAAAGAGAATCGTTAAAAAGCAATTAAACTCTAATAGAATTAAAACAATATACAAAAGGATTTATTAAAACACAGGTAGTAAAAACAGCACATCAATATTTAAAGCTGTTTCCTTAAAAACAACACAAAAAACAGTCTGTAGTATCTATAGCTTTTAATGTCTGATGTTTTATTGTGCTTTAAATATTTTGGTGGGAGCCGCCCAGAGTGGCTGGGGCTGTCCGGCCAGATGTGCAGCATATAAATAATTATTAATTATTATAAATAATAAAATTATCATTGTTGTTATTACAGTTTCTCTCCCTATATTTATTATTACTATTATTAATTACTGTTGGCATCCATTACTGCTATTAATTATTACTACTACTAGTAATTATTACTATTAATAGTAATTATTACTAGTAATTACTGTTACTAATAATTATTATTACTAGTGTAGGAATAGTTTGCTTCCTTTTTTAATAATAATTTTTATTAATTTTTACATATAAATTATCATTCATACAACAAAACTTCATTTCTTGTACAATCTTTTTGGACTTCCATCAGCCCCTCTGATGGTCTTCCGTTCTTATCACTTATTCTGCATTTCTTAAATTCCTATTGCCTTTAATAATCTTAACTAACAGTCCCCCTCGTTACCTTTTTGTTTGTGCAATATTTCAGATAGTCCACCTTACAAAACTTCTCGCAAACCTACAAGCGTAACCTGATCATCACAATTACTTTCCAAATAGTCCGTAAATTTATGTCAGTCTTCTGTGAATCTCTGGTCCCGCAGATTTCGAATTCTTCCGGTTAATTTACCTAATTCTGAATAGTCCAACAGTTTCATCCTCCATTCTTCTTTTGTCGGTAATTCTTCTTGCTTCCAATTTTGTGCCAATAATATTCTTGCTGCCATCATTGCATATAGAAATAATTTACAGTCCTTTCTTTTCATATCATCTCCTACAATGCCAAGTAAAAATGCTTCTGGAGTAGTTTGCTTCCATTTCTTATTGACTTCAGGTGCTGCTCAATTTCCTGCGCAAGATCCCCCCAACCAGCTGCACGGGATTCTTGGTGGGTCAGTCTTGTTTCGCCTAAATGTACCCCCCTGGAAAAGAGTGGACGAGGTTGAATGGAAATTCACCCCCACAGGGGGTCAGCCACTCCTGGTTGCTGAATTCGCCAAGGGGAAGCTGAGGAAACCACACCCAAGCAACCGTTTTGGACCACGGGTAGAAATGGTTGATGAGACCACGCTGAAGATGAAAAACCTGACGATGGCGGACTCTGGAGTGATGGATGTCCGCGTGAAGTTTGCTTCCTCAGTGATTGTGGAGTCCTTCTTCAACCTCATAGTCCATGGTAAGGGACTCTCTCTTCTTTGTCTATCTCACAACCAAGTGAGGAGTTGGCCATCAAACTTTTGGTGTGCCACAGAGCGCAAACATCTATCGTTTTTATCCAACAGAGCCGGTGCCGTCGCCACAAATAAATCACCAGATCATTTCCAGCACTGCCAACCGATGTAATGTGACACTGCATTGTCGGACGTCTGGAAAGTCAGATTTGCATTTTTCCTGGGAAAACAGAAACCCACTCAGGACCTCAGAAGCTTTAGAGTGGTATCGCCTCACCAATGACGACAAGGATCTTCACCTGTCATGGCAGCCAAACACCTCCAATTCCACTTTCACCTGCCTGGTCAGCAACCCAGTTGATCAGAAGAACATCTCGTTTGATGTGTTCAACATCTGTCAGGATGAAGCTCAAGGTCAGTGAAATTCTAGCATGATCTCGTCACTGTTTTACAGGGTCTATTCTCTGGATTGTTATTGTAATTTTTAAAAAACTTTTAAAACTTTCTGTTATGCTTTAATATTTTTTTCTGTAAGTTGCTTAGAGACACTTTATGGAGCAAACAGCTAATCAATAGCATTTATTTGGATAAGTTGACCCTTGTGGTACATCCCAATTCTACAATTCCATGATTCTATGAAATGCAATAATGATTCTGGGTGTCGTTCAAGAATGGTCCTACTCAGTGTAAACCCACTGAAGTCAATGGACATGACTAACAGAATAATAAAGTTGGAAGGGACCCCCAAGGACTCCCTATCTTCTGGTTGTACCCCTTGTTCATCACAGAATCACAGAACTGCAGAGTTGGAAGGGGCACCAAGAGCTATCTAGTCTGGCCTCCTGCACTGCAAGAATAACAGCTAACAAACCCCTGACAGATGGTCTTCCAACCTCTGTTTCAAAACCTCCAATGAAGGAGGGAGCCTGTTCCACTGTTGAATGGCTCTTACCATTGGAAAGTTCTTCGTAATGCTTAATCAGAATCGCCTTTCTTGTAATTTGAGTCTGATTCCAGTATTCCCCTCTGGAGAAGCAGGAAATAAGCTTGCTCCATATTAGGCTCTATCATTTCAATGGGTATACTCTGAGTAGAACTTTGCTGAATACAGCTAAATATGAATACCTTAAAGTTAGGAGTACAATGTGTTCAATTGACTGGGTTAAATATAATCTTCTGTTGGTTTTTTATCCGAGTGGGTCAGACACCCACCAAAATTAAGGTATCCCAGATATTTCTCCATAGCCCGGCACCCCAAGACACCTTCGCAAACCAGTCTAGTGGGTGGCCTCAAGACCCACCCTTTTAGCTGCAGAACTGCATCTTACTGGAAAACATTCAGCATATCGTACAATGTAATTCATTCCCTGTGCCTTATAGGGCTTCTTCTAAGGGCCATGGGACTGCATTTTTGTTTTAGTAGTAGCAGCAGCAGCATTAACATTGCTTAGATTTCTTATCCATCTTTCACCATGAAGTCCGAGGACAGATTAAAGTGCACTATTAAAATAAGGAGAATAGGGTGCGTCCTAAATTTACAAATTACTTAACAGAACACTGTAAACAACTAAAAACTTGGGCAGGATTTGAGTAACGCTTGCAATGTACTAAAAACGAAGGTAAAAATGGATTATTTTGAGAAAAATAGAGAAAATGTATGATGCAGTTGAAAAAGATTGAAAATGGAAACCATGGAAGGGTGGAAGGAAATCTAAAGATTCAGGGAATCCTAAATGTTGATATTACGTCTAATGTTTGAATTTAAATGTGTAGTTTAAAACTGAATAAAAAAGATTATATTTTAAAAAATAGGGTGCGTCCTGAAATATATATATTTCAGGTTTTGAAGACCATGCTTCACTGTCCTGGTCTATAACCACAATTTTACAAGAACGTAAGCGACAGATTTTTAAACCTGGTTTTAAGCTGAGCTGAAAGCCGAAAGTTACACTCAAGGTTATCGATTGCCTCTTTCCATTTAAAATAACTGAATTCTTTTAGCCTTAAAACAAACAAACAAACAAACAAACAAACAAACAAACAAATGAAATCTTTGCTAAACTAAGCCTCCTTTTTTGATGCTAAGCTGACTCTCCCACTAGCTGGGTCTGTGTACGTAAGGATAACTTCTTGCTTCAGATCAGACATCCAGCCGGGGTACTGAGTCCTATCATTATTCCAGCTTCCCATTTCTAATTCTTTGACTCCCCTTGCACCCCAAATGGTCATCAAACTCTTTCTTAGGAAAGGGAGGGGAGGGTATTAACTTGAAAATGGTGTGTGTGTGGAGGGACTGGGGACAAGCTTTTAGGAGCCAAGACGAAAAGAGGGAGCCTCTCAAAATTGGTTTGAATTGTGAAGTGATATTAATAAGCCTTTTTATTTTTTACAAATGGTGTGCCTGGGAGAGGAATTTATTGCTGTGCTGAAAAGTGAAAACTAAAAGATGAACTCTAAAGGGAGAAGTGAAAGAGGAGAAATGTGAGGTTTCACGAAGAGGGAGCAAGCTCTATAAAGTTCATTATTTTGGGAGCTGAAGGCTTTCCCAGCTGAATATATGAACCTTTGCTCCTAGCATTTACTGTATTTTTCTGTGTATAAGACGCCCCCATGCATAAGGTGCCCCCTATTTTTTGAGTCCAAGATTAAGAAATAAATAATTGCAACATTCCGTGTATAAGATGACCCCCAATTTTAAACTTAATTTTTTGGGGGGCAAATATAGTCTTATACACAGAAAAATACAATATTTGTTAGGGCTTTAGTCTTGTTTTTAATGCATTTGCTGATTATGTGTTTTTAACGCCTTTTAATCATCTGATGTATAAGTCTCATTGAGACAGTGAATTAGAAAGCAATGGATAAAAAATAGAAAGCAATAAGGAAAATAAAACACATTAATTTATTTTATAAAATGTATATAATGCTTGATTGTAAGAAAATAACCCTCTCAAAGTGGTTTGCAAAAAGGATAAAACAAATTACCAATAAGAAAAAATAACAATAATTTAAGACTTTTGAAAAGTTAAGATAACAGCAGACTAAAACTTGCATCAACTTTCTGGGCAAACTTATCTAAAGAAAAATGTTTTTCCCAGGCCCCCAAAAGAGTACAGTTGAATACGCTTGCCTGATATCTTGTATTTGTTCTGTTATTAATTATCTTAACTGTAAATTTCATTGAAACAGTGGTTTACAAGATGATTGCTAAAACAATAATAATAGTAAAAATAGCCAGGGCTGTCTCTAACTAAGTTCTAGACAGAGTAGCTTCACTGAAAGGAGTAAGTCCAAATCAGTCATGGATGTTAACTTCAATGGATCTACTCTGAGTAGTATTAGCAATGGGCACTGTTTTAAATGCTTGGGCAAACAGCATCGTTTCAGTGAGAGTTCATTTTCCCCCTGCCGTCACATCAGTATGTCAGATTGTGACAATTTAATATAAGTTAACAGAATGAAGCAGCAATTGGGTGAGAGACTATGGGTAACAGTTGTGGTGAGGGGCAAGGGTCTGAAAGACCACCATTTTGAAAGACCTCTTCCATTCATCTCCTCCTCCTCTCCCCCCCGCCCCGCAGATGGCTGTAGCTGCTTCTCCTGGCTGAGGACCGCCATGGCCGTGGGGCTGGGCCTCCAGGTTGCCACCGTCATCTTGTTAAACGTTCTGGAAAGGAAAGTTGGAGACCAGTGTTGAGTCGGCGTAGAACCACGAACCGCTAACATGGAGCCCACGGGCGCCCACCAGTAATCACTATGATGGCCTCTGCAATAGGTTTTGATAAATATCTCCTTTTTGAAAAGCCACAGGATGTGAGGGACTGTTTGCTCTTCCTGCTTGCAGTGGCTCAGACTCTCTTACCACAACTCTGCCGCGTTTGAGATCGGACCCCCCCGGCTACCCCCTTCCATTCCAGACAGAGGAGAGGCGCCAAGAGCTTTCCTCTAAGAGCATCGTGGTGGCGGCTGAAGTCCGTGCTTTTCTTTCCATTGGAGGAGGTGGCTGGTGCACCTTATTAGCTGTGACAACCATTTTGTGCCACGTCCCATATCCCACGGTAGCCATTTTGTGCTATACCCCGCACCCCACAGTAGCCATTTTGTAACTGGCAGCCACAAAATTTCAAATCCACCCAACGCCCAAAAATGTTTGCCGACCCCGGTGTGGTTGGTTGGAAAAGACACCCTGTCCGGTTTACAAAGTAGCCACTGCCTGCTTACATTAAAGAGAGACTCTTTCCCCCCCACATGGCAAGGAACAACAAAGCTTCCCCTGTTGGGAACCTCCAGGTTGCCCTTTAAAATCATGCCTACTGAAAAGGAATACCACATTGGATCGAAAACTTACTCACGTTTGTTACTGTATGAGATGGTGACGTTTTGCAATGTTTAGTGGTTTAAGCCAATTAGTTGGTCCAATAGGTGGGAGCTGGTGGTGGTGGTGGTGGCAACTGGAGTCCAACAACACCTGGAGGGAACTTGGAGGAAAAGGTGAAACATAAATGCAACAGGTAAATAAACGATGGCAAAGGTTTGAGACTCCTCCGATTCTTCATTCTTGAGAGCAAGGAGACAATATTTACCACCCCTTCAAAAATAATGAATAATAGAGCAGCAGCAACTTTCTGAGCGATCACCATGCAGACAACAGCGGAAGTGGAGAAGATGCTGTCAGATCAATTTTCACTAGATAATTCCCCCCGCCCAGTTGGTTTCTGGCTTACATCTTTCACACCTCGGGTCTAATGCGACAAAAGGCAGAGAGATGTTTACCACAGTGGAAAGGATGACCAAAAGGTTCTCTTACATAGCTGCAAACGTGATACACATCAGAACATGATGGATTGGGACAATGGCCCATCTAGTCCATAGCTGTCAACGTTTCCCTTTTTTAAAGGGAAATTCCCTTATTCCGAATAGGATTCCTCACAAGAAAAGGGAAAAGTTGACAGCTATGGTCTAGTCCAGCACCCTCTTCTCACCGTGGCCGACAAGGTGCCCATTGTGGAAAACCCACAGAATATATGGGATGAACCAGGACTGGAATGCAACTCTCCCCTCCTGCAATTCCTGGCAGCCAGTGTTCAGAGGTGTTCAGAGCAGGGTTGCCACATCTGGTCAGGCAAAATAAGGGACAGGGATGGGGGTGGGGATTAAAAATGGCTGTACCTGTTGCAAAAATGACTTCAAAGCAATAGATTACAATGGGTTGATCCAGTGCTGGTCATACTCATGGAGCAGACCCAATAAAATTTATGGATCTAAGTTAGCGAAGCACATTCATTTCAATGAATCACATCCTCTCCACTTACTGAATTTCTGCCTGTCAGAAGAATGGCAAACGTAGAAACCCAGCCAGAAAGAGAGGTGGAGATAGCAACCGCTTCTGTTTCTCTTCCTCACAGAACTTGGCCTCCAACAGCCCTTTATAAATAGCTGCTAATGCCAATTCATACAATGTTGTTGTTTAGTCGTGTCTGACTCTTTGTGACTCCATGGACCAGAGCATGCCAGGCACTCCTGTCTTCCACTGCCTCCTGCAGTTTGGTCAAACTAAATCCTTACACACATGCACCTAATCAAATCTGTGAGGCTTCAGATGGAACTTTTAGGAGAGGAGTACAAAGGATAACTCATCAAGATATCAGAGTTGACTTAGCTGCACCTGGTCACCCATATCTGCCAGAGCTTCTTGGATATGCTACAGTGATTATGTTCATGCACTATGAATGGTGAACATAAAGGACCCCTGGGTGGTTAAATCTAGTCGAATTCAACTTTGGGGTGCAGCACTCATCTCTGTTTTCAGACCAAGGGAGCTGGCGTTTGTCCACAGACAGCTTTCCGGGTCATGTGGCCAGCATGACTTAACCGCTTCTGGCACAATGGAACACTGTGATGGAAACCAGAGTGCACGGAAACGCCGTTTACCTTCCCGCCACAGCAATACCTATTTATCTACGTGCACTGGTGTGCTTTCAAACTGCTAGGTTGGCAGGAGCTGGGACAGAGCAACAGGAACTCACACCATTGTGCAAATTTGAACAATTGGCAAGCCCCAGACGCTTGATGATTTACACCACAGCACCACCTGTGTTTCTTAGTCACTGACTGTCAGTGTTGAGCATACTAATAGTCTAACTCAGCATAACACAATTTCCCATGCTTCTAAATGTTCTTTTCCCCCTCTGGCTTCCAAGAAACAGGTGATTTGTGACATTTATAGCTTTTTTTTTTTTAGTTATGGGAAAAATAAGGGGCTGGGCTGCTAAGTTATGATCTGTGTGATCGCAATACACCTGCATCTTGAGAATTCATCGAGGTTCTGTATGAAGTACATCAGATACAACTGAAAGCTTAGTGAATGGCTAGTATTGTAACATCAGAAGAGGCGAGGGGTGTTAGGAGTGAGACTCCCCCAAATATCCTAATATTTATGGAAGTTAGTCTATCTTTAAATACCCAGAAGCTGTCCCTACCACTCCAGAAAAGCAGTGAAGAGAAGAGAAGGCTGTTACAATGGAAGAGCAGTCTCTGCGGTTGACATCCCTCAGAGGTGTGGGAAAATGGCCAGAGAAGATCCATCCTTCCAGTGAGCACTCAGGGCTGATTTCCTTCAGAATGGATCAGTTGGATATTCTTGCAGTCCATGGGACTCTCAAGAGTCTCCTCCAGCACCATAATTCAAAAGCATCCATTCTTCGGCGATCAGCCTTCTTTATGGTCCAGCTCTCACTTCCATACATCACTACTGGGAAAACCATAACTTGAACTATACGGACCTTTGTTGGCAATTATAGCAATTTATAAAAAGAAGTAAATCACCCCACAATTCCTCCTCCTCCTAAAAATAATAACAATTTTATTTATACTGCACCCATCTGGCTGGGTTTCCTCAGCCACTCTGGGCGGTTTACAGCATATCTGTAACATCAAGCGTTAAAAACCTCCCGATACAGGGCTGCCTTCAGGTGTCTTCTAAAATACGTTTATTCTGTTTGTTTCATTTTAGAATTCCTGGACCATCCATCACCAGACATGGGAATCACAGGGTGATTTGAAACATAATATAAAGCATACAGCACAAAATACCAACCAAATTGCAATAATTAATAAAATAAATCAGCAATGAAATAGAACAATAGAGGAAACATGGGGCCATGTACACCCTAAATTAATTTCACTAAGGTTATGGGAGAACAAGTATGATTACATTCCATCTGAAACAGGCTAAATACCCAATTCCTGTTCAAAAGACCCAGCCACTAACGCTGTTTCCATCTGTTGGTGCCCATTGGTACTGGTAAGGCAAAAGGCAGGGAGACCGACAGTTGAGTCAGACCCAATAATACGCAGAGCCAACTAATTTTGTCCCCATCATCTTCTCTTTGGAGTTCTTCAAGGGCAAAACTGAGACGAAGGATAAAAAGCTGGCAGGCAGTGCCATGCAATGGATATATTGTAATTAAGAAGGTCGGCAGGTCAGGGCTGGCTGAAGGTGGCCTGAGATTGGTGGAACATGGCTCCATTTGCCTTGATAAATTAGCCTCCACAAGCGACAACTCTCTTGAGAACTTTGCCCAAGTGGAAATATTAATAATTGGGCAATGGTTATCACAAACCTTATAGACCAGGGAGGATCTCTTGGGGAGAGGGTACTGTCAGATGCTGTTGCGGTTGCTCAAGAGTAAACAGGCAAGACTCCGACTTGTCTTTTCCAGGCTTTATTCTTGGTGCAAACTATTTACAGTGAAGAGCGTCGTAAGTTCATGTCTGACTCAATAGCTAGCAGAATCCGGGAGTGGTCTGTTCTTGTACCTCCCTCAACATAAAAGTTTCATCACCCCCAGCCTTTTCCGCCCCTCCCTGTGCCTCAAACTACTGCGCATGATGGGCGATGGCAGGTGCGTGCTTCCCTCCTCTCTGGCTTGCTCAGGCGCGGTGTTAAGGCTCTCACTAGCATCCTCTGGTCCTTGCACCTCTTCTCCACTGGAGGTGGGGGTTTCCTCCTCGCCAGAAGAGGAACTGCTTTGCAAGATTTTCGGAGGCTCCCTGTAACACAACTCCCCCTCTATCTCTCGCCTCTGAGCCGATGGCAGTTCCCTGACAGGTACACTATAAAATCTAGAGTTTTCAAATCCCAGTGATGGCTTATCTTCTAAATTTATAGATGAGAAGTATATCATTCTGTCATAATTATGGACTAAATTTCTGAAAACAGCACGAATAAACCACTTCAGAAATGAGCCAAACTGAAATATCTCCTGCCTTTGTCATAGAATTCTTATTTGATGATTGAAGGCATGAAGAGTAGAGTTTGTAAACTGTGCTTGACTAAACCCCTTTCCTCACGGCACATCCACTCTAATGTGGTGGTGGTGGGAATATGAAATCAGACAATAAACTTCCAGAAAGGATTAGTTGTGGTTAACAAATGTTTATATGAGTTGAATAAGTTGTTCATGGCGATCTCCAGTGCCTTAAAATAAATAACCGATTTTAGCAGAATGTGAGGAACAGGCACCTACTGTTTAGCACCTTTAATTTATTCTTTGAATTAGCTGCCCCCTAGTGTTCAACTCAGGTCTAACCACAATGATAAAGCATTTTGGTAAAAATATACACATCAGTAATCCTGCACTGGAAGCTAAGATGGAGAAGATCTCCACGGCCACCATGTATTTTCCCTTGGTGCTCTGGTAGGTGGGAACAAAGGACAACCAAACACTGCAAAACAGAAGCATACTGAAGGTGATAAACTTGGCTTCATTAAAACTGTCGGGTAATTTCCTGGCTAGGAAAGCCACAGTGAAGCTGACAATGGCTAGGAAGCCCATAAAGCCCAAAACACAGTAGAACATAATAACTGAACCTTCATTACATTCCAGAACAATTTCTTCAGTCACTGAGTGCATGTCAAAATACAAGAATGGGGGAGAGGTTGCCAGCCACACAGCACAAATAGTGGTTTGAATAAGGGAGCATGACAGAACAATGGAAAAGGCCAGTCTTTTCCCGATCCATTTTCTCATCCTGGACCCAGGCTTGGTCGCCATGAAAGCCATGATGACGGTGATGGTTTTGGCCAACACACAAGAAACTGCCATTGAGAAGATAATGCCAAAAGCAGGTTGTCGAAAGAGACATGGTATCTTCTCAGGCTGACCAATGAATAGGAATACACAAAGGAAGCAGAGCAGTAGGGAGATGAGGAGACCGTAGGTGAGGCTCCGGTTGTTGGCTTTGACTATGGGAGTGTCTTTGTGCTTAATGAAGACTCCAAGCACCAGAGCTGTGAGGAAAGAGAAGGAAAGAGCAAAAATGGCCAGACTGGTCCCCAAAGGTTCGTCATAAGACAAGAAGCTTATCTTTTTTGGAACACATAAATCCTGGCCACGGTTTGGATATTGATCTTCTTGACATTGAATACAGACGTCCATGTCTGGAAAAGAAAACATGGCTTTTGATATATACATTAAACAACCCTTAGCATTCAAAACCCTATCTGAGCATAGGGTGCTAGGGGAGAAAG